GGCCCCCGCCCCCCCCCGGAAAAAACCCCCCAAAAAAAAAAAAAAGTAAAAAAAAAAAAAAAAAAAAAAAAAAAAAAAAAAAACTATTACCTACATGGGTTTTTAGGGGACAAACATTTGCAAAATGCATTTTGCGTTTTTTATTATAGAAATTCATGGAATTTAGATCAAATGATGGGGAGGTGCCGCTTTGGCCCAGCTGAGTCGGGCCGACACTAAAACTTGTGTTCTGACGTTTTCCCGCAGGATCCCTGCTGCCTCACAGGCCACAGATCAATCACCTTATTGACTCTTAGTGTCATACAGTAAAGGGGCAGCGAGGAGGACTAACACATGTCACTATAAGCTTTAAATAACGATCACTGGCACTAATTGCTTGATGCGTCTTTTTCAGGATCCATACTTTTTCCTAAATTACCCAATCCGATGCAAACAGAATTCAAATTTAACTTACTTCGGAGAGTCATATTTCCTATCTCTATATTAAAGCCATGTTCAAATGAATATAAAGTTATCTCTTCCCTTTAAGCGCTGAAATACCCCGGGTTATCTGCACGGAGCGGATACAGAGGACCTGAATGCAGCTCGGCGGGAGGCTCCGCCGTCTTGTTATCGATATATGTGAAACTTGCTGGAAAGGATATTGACCGCACTAACTAGCCGTACTTTGATCATACGAAATTGCTTTCCAGATGACAACACATTAAGGATGAGAGCATTTTTGGGAAAAATTGAGAGGGGAAAAAAAGGCTCCACGCTCCTGATTCCCCCCCCCCCTACTACAACTGATAGAGAAAGTCTTAAAAGCTCATCAAATAAACAGCAAATATGAAAGTTTGATTCACAGATGTACATGTCCTGAACGTGTTTTACCAGTATCTTGGAAAAAAAAAAAAAAAAAAAAAAAAAAAAAAAAAAAACAGAGAAGTTTAGTGAAATACCAACCGGACAGCACCAAACCGACAGCGTAGTTTTTACTTTGTGATTTGCGGAAGTTATGGAGGCCGAGAAACAAAAATGTTCTTCAAATTAAGAAAGAGGAAAAAAAACATAAAGCATTTTACTGGGCCTAAAAAACAAAAACAAATTTTAACTAATTAAAAATTGAAATACAATAAAATAATCGAAAAAGGCGAAATTTAACCTTTTAATCAGACGTCGTTCGTTTCATAATAATAATAATGAATTATAATAACGACAATAAATAATAATAATAATAATAATAATAATAATTTTCTGTATAGCAGCCACACAGATCGTGTGAATCATTGTCTATAATTATTTATTTGCATTAAAATAGTCGGATGTCAAAGTAATGCGGACGGATTGATTGAGTTAAATTCCGACCCTGAAAAGGTGAAAGATCTCAGAAGGAAATACGTTTCCTGAAATGCAATTTAATGCCGTAATTTATCCTCCTTTATTGGCAACAGAGCTGAACAATTAAGCTGCAAA